GCCGCTTGCCGCTTCAGTGCTCCCCGGTGCGCCAGCGGGCAAAACCGGGCTGGAGGTCAGAGCCGGCTCCGAGGAGGGATGTGCTCCTGCCCTGGCCAGGCACATGCCCGCACGTGGCCGGTGCACGCGGTGCTCCCTCCCTCCCTCCCCACGGCAGACGCCGATAAAACCGACAGACACCAGCCCATTCGCCATGGTTAGGCCGTTTAACGGCAAACAGGCTCGGCGTGGCTGTTGGGGGGGTTTCAAAGTCCCCGGGCAGCTGCAGAATGATCCCCTGCCGCCTGCCGGCGGGCGCCCCAAGGCTGGAGGAGTGGGAGGACTCAGGGGGGTTCTGGGGGGAGCACGCCAAGCTCATTAGTGCCATTTCCCTGCTCCGTACAACGCTCGCAGGCAGCCATCTCGCTCCGCCCAGGCAAAACCAGCCCCTTTGTCTGGCGAGCGGGTTGTGGCTGGGCAGCGAAAGGGTCCTGTGTCCCATCCCGTCCCCTCCTAGGCCAGGCCTGCCGGGGGGCACACGGGCCGGCTGGCAGGGTGTCCTCCCAGCCACGGGCTGCCAAAAAATGAGACGGGCTTGGAAAGCCATCAGAGCGCTGCCGGGCGAAGCAGCATCCCCTCGCCTAATTGCTCCGGTCACAATTAAGGCCGGGCGCGTGTGGGACCTGCCAGCTGGGTCACGCTGCCGCCCGCCATCTGCTCTGGGCTGGGATTAGCGACCCGGCCCCGCTCCCGCCCGGGATTAGCCAGGAAGGCGGCATGGCCGTGGTGGGGACGGGGACAGGGCTGGCCCGCGGCCATTCCCCAGCAGCTGCGTGGAAGGAGGCAGGGATGGACCATATTTAATCGCACAGATCTAATGAAAGCGACTCATGGCCAGAGCATAGAGCCCCCTCGGTGACGGGAGGACAGCACTGGGTCCCCGTCCCCGTCCTCACCAGCAGATGAGCCCGGCGGTGACAGCCATCCAGGTGACACAGCAGGAGTGGGGCCGCTTGGTTTCGGGCTCCTGGTCCCTCTTGCAGCAGCACAGGCAGATCAGGTAGACGGTGAGGAAGAGGAGGTTGAGGCCGAGGCAGACGGCGGCCACCAAGCCCAGGAAAAGCAGCGACTGGGAAGGAGAGAGGGGACAGTCAGCACCCGTGCCCGTGGCCATCATGTGCCGCAGAGCGCCTGGCGGTGGGCAGGATGCGGCCACGTCCAGCGCCCCACGGGACGGTCACACGGGGAAAGAGGAAGCGTCCCCGTCCCCATCCCCACACGGGGCCGTCAAGCTGCAGGTCATGG